TGCCTACGTGACTGGCTGACTTAAACTAACTGTTGTGGATTTCATTGACTGATGCCACCATGTTTTAGTTTGACCACCGTCAATAGCTCTTTTCCAAAAATCTGATCCCATATCAGTAACTAACATTGCCCATCTTCGAGGAAAGTGATGGCTAGGCTAGGCATGCGTAACACATATCCTAACCATCTCAATCGGCGTCAATTCACAACCTCATCGATTGATGTCGCCTCCTTACCTAGCACTTGACAGATGCGTAACCCCAATATTGCTCGCCTTATTATACCGGTTAACTTGAGACATAGATAGAACACAGGCACCTGAGACCACAGACATCCAGTCTTGTCATGTCTTCCACTTTCAATGGTCATGTCTCGCTCACAGCCAGCCATAAAGGAGGACGGAGCGAACTGCTGGGTAGTAAACACTCCGTTTTGTTGACAGCCAGCTGGATATCACGTTTACGCCAGAGATGGTGTAAACTGGCATATGCGAAAGGAACCTTCTGTATCCGTGCTGAGATTTCGTAAGCGATCAACCCTCTGACGTTGGTTGATGCGACTTCCCAAATAAGGGAAGCGGTCAATGCGCTCTACCACTTCACTCCCTATTTCCAAGCTAGGGGTTATGGATCTCAATGAGTGATGTCTCCATTTTCTGATTCGACCACCAGCAGCTCTTTTCTAATCCGAACCTATGCCAGCTAAAATTTCCAGTTGTCGAGGAAGGCGATGGCTAGGAATGCGTAACGCATGTCCTAACCATCTCAATCGATCTAATTTCACAGCATCATCGATTTACCTTCCACTCGATGCCTCACCAGCTCAATATTACTCTCCTTACCATACCATCACCTAAAATGGAGGATAGGAAGCAGACACCTATGAACAAAGACAGCTAGCCAGCCTTATCAAATCTTTCAATTTCAATGGCCACCATGTGTTATAGCCAGTCATAAGGGAGGAGAGAGGGAACTGCTGAGCATTACACACGCCCTTTGGTCAACAGCCAGCAGGATATCAGGTCTAGTGTACCAGAGATGGCGTAAGTAAGTAATTCACAAAATATCACTGCACAAAAGGATCCAATGATTCGCCTAAACAACACATATTTGATTATTATTCCCTTGGGTCTTCAGTGGAATATAGGGGCTTCAACATCTCTGTTTTGTCCCATTCTCCACAGTCCTCTTTAGCTGTCTCCACGATTATCCATATGCTTTCATTTCCTACTCATGCGATTTTATGCATATCATCCTTGCCCCTATGCTCAAGTCGTCGTTCACTATATGGGTTCCATCTGTGGACCTCTTGCAATATGTCACCCAATGCTCTCCTCAGTGTGTGTGTGTGTGTGCGTGTCTAATCCACCTCCATTTCCTGCGCATATAGCCATAAGTTCATGCCTAGTCTTCATTCCCAGAATTTGTTGTTGCCAATACTTTCTGGTTATTTGATTTTCAGTATAGAGCGAAGGCTGTACATATTGTAGAAAATTGAAACCACACAAATATAGATAGCACAGCAGTGCGCAAAGAAGACCCGCAAAATCGTGAATCGTTCCATAGTTTTCGACTTAACCTCGCCTAGTTAACTAGTTCACTAGTTTTCAAGCCAATCGTAAGCGCGATGAGATAGGGAAAGTTAGGTGTGACACTAGAGGCTATACTCCAAAAACAAATCAATCCAATCGTTACAGAGACTTTAAAGCACAACAAGAAACATATATCCCACCAATAAATTATCTTCAGTATTAGAAGATACTCATTTGAGTATTTCCAAACGACGTATGTCGACCGTGCCCAGCGTTCGATATCCAAACGTATCACCGAAAACTTACCAGCATGGTTTTACAAAGTAGAAAAACGATGCCCCCCACAGCTCTATCTTACAACATCTGATAGATCTCAGACACCAAGCTTCACTCCCAACAAACTTCACAGTCATCTACAGAATACGAAGTAGTCTTCCTAAAAGTGTATGAGTCAAACTTCTCCAGACTGCAGAAGCAATCGCAATTCACTTGCTAAGCCCTGAACTCTGCATACAAAAGAAGTTCGTTCAGTCACTACACCTGCAATAGACATTATCTTAATACCCGAAGGGTAAATTCTATTTCTTTCTTTCTGTCTCTTCATTAGTATGATTTTGTCTTTTCAATTGTGATATTTTACATTTTCAACTTTCCTGTTCTCTATCCGCACCCGATTTAATTTCTACACCTCACTACCACTGTTACTGACTTGACCAAAGCTCAATTTCTAGTCATTTATGTTATGTCATCCAATCTATTTGCTCAACTCTAGTCCTAGTTTAAATGGCATTATTCTCTACTTAGTCTCTACCTGTAATTAACTCTGTTGCTATCCTGACCTAAGTTGAAACATTTTAGTCAATTATATTACGTCATCTAACTTACTAACTCAATCTTACTTTAGCTGCTGTCCAATTAACCTTGTTTCTATATTAGATCATTCTCGTAATACCTGATTAATTATCTAAACTTGACAAACGTCATGTACATACACACACAAATAATTATATATAAATACGATTGTACAGCTATGTGAATGAATTCGCTGTCGAAAAGAGTCTCTTCGCTGAACGTCTTCTCTTTTTCATATGACTCAATGGGGATTTTTAAGTTACTTAAACCTAAAATTGAATGCTCAAACAGATTAAGAGGGTGAACTGTCAATGTTATTCAGCCTCTTTTCATCATATCAAGGACAATTTTGCCGGCTGACTTTTCTTGCCTTATTATACATCAACACTATACAAGTGGATCGCTTCGGAGATTGAAACAATAAGTCCTGGTTTTGCTGGAACCTCAATCGGAATATTACTACACACACTGAACCAAAAATGCACCTCTGGGATTCAACTGCTGTTCACTATCAATCAAAAAACATCATGTCAACTATTCAGACATCGTTGAACTCTCCTTACCAGGACCTGATATGCCAACGGATATCAAGTACTGCTGTCTGCTGTCGTCGTCGCTGTTGTGGAGAAACATCAAGGTTCAACCTAATCACTCATTGTATAGGTATACTCCTGTCTAATCCCTAACAAGATGAAGAAAATGAAAAAAAATATCGGTTAGAGAACTACCGAAAACCAGAGAGTATTGAACATAGATTTCATCCTCTAGGTTTTGGACTTTTTAGCCGTACGGAACCCCAGTAGCTTGTCAATTCGCGATATTTTTATCCTGACAGAAGTTAGAATTCATGGGCTCATTGAATTCCCACCTAAGTGGTGGAATGATCGGTGAGTTCAGAATGGCTACCTGACTTCCTGGGTTCTATCCTTATCAAAGTCACGAGTGCTTACTGAAGAAGAGACTCAAACTGGGACGAAACAACTGACTCTTCAGTACTCCTTGCTGACCTTCAATGATTCTCTAACTAATATCAATCTATGATCATAATTAAAAACATCGAATCCCTACAAGCTAACTAACCCTTGAAAATCAAAATATGAAGCATCTCACTATTTTAGTATGATGGTATATAATACTAGTGATTAGTGTCAGTAGTAGAGAATGACTCACTAACGATTATCTTATCATGTCCTACTCCATGTTGACTACTGTTCCCTTGCGTTCCGAGTGGGACATAGGGCTTTCAACAACACATCTCCACTTTGTTCTGTTTCCTGACGTCCTCTTCAGCTGGGTCTACAATTGACCTAACTCTCTCACCTCTTCCTTACACGATCTCCTCAATGTCACTCTAGCACTGATACACAGTCGTCGCTTCCCACTGGGATTCCACTCGAATAATGGGCTGGCGTACGATGTCATTCGGTGGCCTCCTTAATTTTCTGAGAGACCGGCTCTTGGTTGGTTTTTCCCCATAATTTCTTGTTGCTTATCGTTTCTGGCCATTTGATCTTCAGTATGGGGCCAGCCAGAAAAGGCAGCTGTTGATGAAAGTTTGCGAGAAGCTGTTGGAAATCCTTTTCGTGCCACACACGCAGTGCTAGTTTCTAACCCGTATAAAAGCACTTACTGACTTCACATTGGTGTCGTTCCTTATGCTGAGTGCGGAAGATCTCCAAACTGGTTTCAAGTTGATGATGGCGTATCTTGCCTTTCCGATTCTGGCTAGCTTTGATATCTTCGTCCGTTTCGACTGCCTGTAGTTGAAACAATGCTTCCTAGCCGAATAAGTGAAAGAGGCAACCACTGTTAAATCTCTCCTGTTGATGGTGATTGGTGCTGCTTGCTGTTGTTGTTATTGTTGTTGCTGTTCGTTGGTTACCTTCATCACCTTCATCTTCTCTGTGTTCACCTGCAGTCCTGTTTTCGCTACCAACCTCTTTAGCTGGTTTGTTAGTTTTTGCTTGCAAGTCTTCGCATTTATGTGACATTAACCTTGCCTAGTTAACTAGCACGTTAGTTTTTTTAGCCAGTTCCAAAGCCTGGCTAAAGAGGGAGGGTTGGGTATGGGGCTAGCAACCCCACATCATTAAATCTTTAAAACTGCTAGAGAAACTTCAACACACAGAAAATATACTAAAAAGATAAAAACTTCAAATAAAAATCTTATTCTCCGCTAGAATCGGAGAGGGGAAATGACACAGCGGGCTAGTGAAAGCCTTTGGGAAGCCAGTCAGCTAGCCAGTGGATGTGCCTTCTCTCTATGAAAACAAGAGTAAGAATGAGTACACGAAATGTCCATACAACGTACCAGACCGGCTGGAAAGGCTGCCCAAGTAGCCAAAGAGATGCAAAGATATCGCTTAGAAGTACTGGATATCTGCGAAAGCAAATGGAATGGATGTGGATTGAAAACACTGTCGACAGGAGAGTCAATAATCTACTCCTGTCTGATCACTCAGACGACAACCACGAACACACACACACATATAGTGTGATCTGAATAATTTTGCCTTCCAAAGGAAATATCTTGTGTAGAACTTGCAAACTACAATAATATTTAATTTATAAAATAAAGAGGGAATTTTTACAGTATTTCAATTTTTTATTTCATACAGATTTATCCGTAATAGAGTATTTACGTAATTATGTACATTATACAAGCAGAAAGTATGATTTATACCGACGTATATATAATTACTGGTGTCAAGGTTCCAAATTACCTATCGACGTAAGTACTACGAATATTTTTTTAAAGTACTGGTTTTTGTAGGGATTTTGTTCGATTAGCTGGAGGATTTAATCATGAGCTGACATCAGTTAAAGAACCATCGAAAACCAACCACACGGAGTACTTGACAGCTGAATGGTGTACGAGCTTGCCTTGTAACCAGAAGGTCCTGGGTTCGAACCGTGACGGTGGGTATATACTGTTGAAGAGTCCTCAACTAGGCCGAAACAGCTGTCTAATAATGAATATTATTGCTATTTCTTCAGTAAATTGACAAAGTCTGATAAGCATCTTTTTAAACTAACCAGCCTATATTACTATTACAATTCTCTAAGTTTCCGAGTGGAATATACGCGGCTTCAACAGCACATTTCCACACCACCTTGTTTTCTGTAATGGTCCTTAGCTGATTCCATGGGTGCCCCTATCACTTCCTTACACGATCTCTAACATGTCACCTATGAGTTCCACTCAAGGGTCTGATGTGTGATGTAACTCAACGATACCAGTGTTTATCCAATCAATGTTCAATCCAAATACCAAATACTCAATTACAATAGCAACAATCCAATAACACACAAAAGGAATTGTATACAAATCCAGGACCTTCTGGTTACATGGCCAGCAAGCTCGTAGACCATTAAGCCACTGAGAACCGAACCAATGGCTCATGAATTCAAACTTCTACCAATTCACGATATACTGCAACCACATCGCAATATCTTCGATGACTCACTGTTCTCACCTTCGACCTGCTCTACCCTACTGGTTACGTCTTTCCACTAGAACCCCTGGTAACTACCTACAAGAATAGGGCAACTGGACCGGCTCCCAGTGGCTTAATGGTCTACCAGCTCGCTAGCCTTATAACCAGAAGGTCCTAGGTTCGGGCCCTGGTGAGTGTGCATAGCTGAAGTGTCCTAAACTAGGACGGAACAGATGGCTGTCCACTACTCCCAGCCGGTTTTCCAATGGTTCTCTAACTGATTTCAGCTAATGATGAAATCCTTTGACCAATCAAACAAAATCCCTACACACCAATACTTGAAAATGCTTATGTTCACTTGAAATCCTGTCTTCGCTGCCAGCCTCCTCTTCCAAGCTGTTTGACATTAGGCATCAATCAACCACAAAGTTCAGATACTCTAGAATCTTTTTCCCGGTCCAGTATACCCCTATCTTCTCGCTCCCCATGACCTTCTGCGTGATCTAGTCCACCAAAATCAAGAAAGAAAAGCGAGACGGTTAGTTCCGTTCAATTTCAACTGCTATTGTTTCTGATATAGTGAGTAATGATCCAAGCTGAAGAGAAAATCTCCATCACAGCTGAATTTGAACCAGAAGCTCTCAAACTACCAACAAGTTCGGTATTCAACTAATTCAGTTAATAGTAGTATTTCGGGGCCGTCGTTTCAAATTCTGGCTGCCCAGATTTTCATTTGACCTTCATTCTTTGTGTTCCAGTTGTATCATAGGACATAAGCGGAGCATATTTAGTGCACTTGTTTATCTCTCATCACTTTCAACTAGATTAATGACTGCCCACTAGATTTCATTTCCTCTTCACATCACCTTCAGACGCCCACTCTGTCGCCTCCGGTAGAGTTAAACTTTAAGCACCACTAATTACCAATCAGTGAATGACCTCGAACGAACCAATCACATGAAGAAGACATTTTTATGTATGGAATACATATACTTATGGAAAAACGCATAAAAACTGTACAAAACTGTTACATAGGATACCTTTCTCTCACATGTGAAAAAATATCTCCCAGTTACGCACAGGAGGATCAATTAAAATGTTACAACGCACATCCCATGACATCCCTTTGAGATATATTAATGGCTCTAATCCTGCTTTCTAACCATCCTCGAAAGCCATCGATAGAACTGGTGTGGGCCCCTGTAATGGGATCCACAAAATTATTAGAATGGTTGACTCTGAGGTGAATATATCCAAGTTATAACTTTACCACTCATCTTTGCGTATTGTAGATTCTTGTTTCATCCGTCGAGTAATGATGGGCATTAAAGTACCTGACTTTCCATCTGCTATCCTCTAGACGAATCTTTTCTGTAGAGAGGTATCGTATAAATCAACCTCCCAAACATTATTTGCTTGTTCTCGGCCACGGTTGTATTTCTTCTTTATTAAGACAGTTTCATCTACATATACGATGACACCTTCTCCTAATAAGGAAGTAAGCCTCTCCATTGTTCCAAGATGCGATATACCTTCAGTCGTCGTACAACTGACCTGTTGATACAAGACTATTTTCAGTTTCAGCAGCTGAAACCCAGTAATTACAAATATACAAAATCTGGGTTAAGGACAAGTGGGACCCAGCAAAAAATGTTCCTACGAAATATTAGAATCATCAAGAGGACCTCAAGTTAAGGAACAAGGATATATCATCATTATTATTCCTTTATGTTCCTAGCGGAACGTAGGGCGCCTTCAAGATAAAGCTTTGAAGATTCGGTAGCGTTGGTATTTATTTTTACGGGATGAAGTTGCTAGCCAGCCTCATGTCAGTCAGTCTTTTTATTGGCTTAGGAATATGTCAGTGGCTGGATATCGAACCCAGAACCACATGTGGCGTGGTTGGTAAGCATTCCACCTCTGTGCCACCAACGTTTGAACAAGGAGATATATATATCCTTCGAATCATAATGCAAAAAGATAGTAAAAAATTAAATCATTTATATGCTTATTTGTACAATATATATATATATATATATATATATATATATATATATATACAGCAGAAATAATAAAAAGACAGTTGCAGCCAAGAAAATTCTCTTTTCAACGAAGTCATCAGCTAGGAGGCTGTACATTCGTGTATTTATGATAAATTGGGTGGAAAAGTTCCAGAATAATTTCCGGTCAAGGATCAAATTATTAAAATTACAATTAGGAATTAAAATGCCATAATAAACAGTTGGGGAGAGGGAAGGATAAAACTCAAACAAAGTAGCATCATAATTACTGAGAAGATTGACATACTGGGCAATTAGGGGTTAGAAATGTAGAAATAACGAAAAAAGTAGACAGGATGTTTGGATAAAAAATCTAGTGGGATCATAACTAATGTGACGAATAACTGTTTATGCAATTAGGGATTAAATATGTAGAGATAATAAAATGACAAAACAGACAAGAAGTTCGGATATGAAAATATGGTAGTGTAAATAGGGATTAAGAAAAACTTAAAAATAACATGAATAAATAGGAAGTTTGTATAAGAAAGGCAATGGGATAGTCACTATTAAAAGAATTACGTGGTTATGATGGCAATGACGGAGACAAGGGCTGGACGTATTTCTTTTGGATATATAGCGTAGGTTTGAGTTTTTGGATGGTTAATGCCTCGGCTATGCCCAGATGTCTTAATTTTACTCATAAATACACGAATGTACCATGCTTTCATATCCGAACTTCTTGTCTATTTTGTCATTTTACTATTTCTACATATTTAATCCCTAATTGCATAACACAATTATTCATCACATTACTTTTTTATCCAAACATCCTGTCTATTGTTGTTATTTCTACATTTCTAACCCCTAATTGCCCAATATGTCAATCGTCTCAGTAATTATGATGCTACTTTGTTTGAGTTTTATCCTGGTTATCCCCTGTTTTATTATGGCATTTTAATTCCTAATTGTAATTTTATTAATTTGATCCTTGACCGGAAATTGTTCTGGAACTTTCCCACCCACCCATTTATTATAACAACACGAATGTAAAGCCTCCTAGCTGATGACTTCGTTGAAAAGAGAATTCTCTTGGCTCAAAATGTCTTTTTATTATTCCCTATGAACAAATGTGTATATTCCGTGATATTGCAGAAACTACAAAATGCCTTCGAAGATATTATACCTGTACAAATACCAAATGGATCTTGTGAATTAATATTTAATTTAATTGATATACAACCTGAAGATTATCAAACCATTGACTTTGAAACATTCTGTTGTATATGTGCTGTTGCAGAACGAATTGTATTCATTAAACTTATGTGAGTTTATTGCATTCTTTGCTTATGAATATTTTTAGCGTTTTCATTCACTTCTAATGTTATGCAATAATCTACAAATTTTCACGAGTTGATCACGGATTGATATCAGCTAGAGAACAAATGAAAACCAGCCATAGGGAGTCTGTCTGTCTGGATTCAACATAGAACTTGACACCGAACTGCACCAGTTCGAGTTGCCACGTTCCAAATAGCCCACAGAGGTAGATAAGAAGATGAGTGAAGAGAATCAATACAGTCTGACAAGTATAAGACTGAAACAGAATGGGTAATGGTAGAAAGGAATATGAAAGATTACAGAGACTGAATACATCTGCACTGGCCATTGACAACGATTTTGAGCCATGTCACCTATTGTCTCCAGCCATTGATTCCTAGAGTCCCGAGGGCCCCAACCCGGGAGTCTGAATCTCCCTAACTGACTCAGTTTAACTGTCAAGGATTTCACGGATTGATGAGGTCATGTTTTTGTTTGGCCACCACTGACTCTTTTCCAGCCTGCACCTATATCAGCTATTAATGCCCGTCGCGGGAGGCGGTGGTTAGGCATGCGCACCACGTGACCTAGCCATCTCTACGCCATCTATGTAACTTTATAGCCTCGTCGATTGATTTTCCCTCTTTGACCAACACCCAACGCCTAATGTCAACATTACTTACCTTAATAAACCACCTAACATGAGGAAGAGATCGACAACATCTATGATCGAAAACAACAATCAACCTTTTCATGTCTTCAACTCGTATTGGCCATGTTTCAGAGCCATAGAGAAGGACGGAGCGAACTGCAGCTGAGCAGTACACACGTCCCTTGGTTGATAACCGGATGTCACGCCTACGCCAGAGATGGTGTAAGTCAGCGAAAGCAGCTCGAGCTTTTCGGATCCGTGCTGCGATTTCATCGCCAATCAGTCCGTTGGTGCTAATACAACTTCCCAAATAGGTGAAGTGGTCAACATGTTCTATCACTTCACTCCCTATCACTAAGTTAGGAGTTGACGTAGTCCAGTCCTGTAGCAGCATCTTACATTTTGCAGGGGAGGATCGCATGCCAAACATACGAAGATTGCTGCTCAAGGTGTTGAGAAGACTCTGCTTTATTTTGTCATCATCCTCCCCTAACAGGACTATATCATCTGCATATTCTAAGTCCATAAGACTATTCCCTGGTAACATGTCGATTCCTAAGTCACAGAAAGTACTGAACAACCAGCTGTTTCATCCTAGTTTGAGAATCATTGGCAGTATGCACCCACCGCAAGGGGTCGAACCCAGGAATTTCGGGTTGCAAGGCGAGCTCATATACTATTCAGTAACTGGGACCCGACTCCTCAATGGCCAGCCCATGAATTCTTACTTCTACTAATTCTTGATTTAGCGCGACACTAACCAATGTCATCGGTGCGACATCCATCCTCCCACTTGACTGGATGGACCTCTTTGGTCACGACTTATCACTAGAACTCCAGCAAATCCCGTCCTGTAGTAAGTCACAACCTCGCATCATATTAATTTTCTGTAGTTTCTTTGTAAGCATTAATTTTGTTTCTACGAGTTGATCACGGATTAACATAAGGTAGAGGACCATTAAAAACCAGGGAGTACTGTCGATTATTTCCAAACTAGGATGAAACAGCTGTCCAGTACTCCTTGTGACTGGTTTTCAATGGTTCTCTAACTGATATCAATCCGTGATCAACTCGTAAAAACAAAACTAATGCTTACAAACCAGCTATAGAAAATCTACAAATTGACAATGAACGATACCTGTTTTTTGTGAAGGCTAGGTAATACACTGTCATCTGAAGTGATGACAGCCGGCCGTGTCGGTCAGCGAGGAATGCCTACTGTCACCATATATTTTTTTGTTAACTTCTTCACTGATGTACTAATTAAATTGACGCTGAGTTCAAAGACTTGTTATAAGGGTGCTGTTTTATTGACTTCCAGTATGCAGATGATACTGGCCTCCTAAGTGAAGACGCTGATAAACTGTAGGGTCTTCTGAATACTACGAGCAGAAATCTTCGAATGAGTTGGCATGAAGCTGCGGAACTGGTCTGCACCGACTTCTAGTTTAAAGATAAGTAATAGAGTGGTGGATAATTTTGACCACTTCACTTATTTGAGTAGTTGCGACAGCCATGATGAACTAATTACTGATGAGAACTCATCACGGATACAAAAGGCTTGTATAACATTTAACAGCATAGATCATCTCTGGTGTAGGTGTAATATATCCAGCTGTCCTATAGACCAGTTCAGCAGTTCTCTCCATTCTACTTTATGGTTGCGAGATGTGGTTTTTGAAAGTGGAAGTTAAGAAAAAGGTTAGCTGTCTTTCAGCGAGTCATTTACGTTTTATCTCTGAACCGAAGTGGTATAATATGCAGAGTAATATTGAAATTAGATGTAGTATGCTAGATAATGCGGGTGAGATGGCTATTACAGGTAGAATAAGAGACTGGACAAACTGTTTCTTTATACAACCCTGAACTCTGTATACAGAAAAAGTTTGTCCAGTCTCTTATTCTACCTTGGTCTTAAACTCTTCACTAATCGTTCCCTGTAAAACATTTTGATTTTTTCTTTTGTCTTTTAATTTTTAATTTTACTTCTAGTTTGCTTTTGCTTTAATAATTAATTCACTATTATCAATCTCATATGCTCCTTTTGTATATTTTCACACTGTCTTCACACTTGTTAAATTGACACTCAAATACCACCTTTATTCTCACTCAAGAGGAATTTTAATCTTATCAAATCCATAAAACCTTTGAAAGTTGGTTTCAGCCACGTAAGGGAAGTACAGATTGTCTGAGTGACGTCTTCGAGGCCCTAAAAACCAACGTCTACAGAATATTGGTGATATGGCTCAAGATAATTCAGAATAGTGCAGTTAAATTCACTCATTGTCATCCCCTATATCCCTTAAAATTCTGCTTATTTAAATTCATTGTCTTCTCTGTTTTATTCTACCCTCATGTGGTACATGAAGTGTAGGAATTTGAACTGCTGCATTTCTATGCTAAATTCTATGTTGAAATTCAGTCTACTTATACTCCCAAGCAGGCTAAACCTCAATATAAAGAAAGGAATCTAAATCGGTGTCCCAGAAATAAATAGTCGACTACATATAGCAAATTCAATGAGAACTAATGATTACTTATCTGTCTGTTGAAACCTTATCCATTGGGAATGAGTTATAACATAAAATTTGGGTTTCAAGATTATTACACATTTAATAATCAATTGATTTCACTTTCAGAATTCCAGATGAGTGAAATATTTATCTCTCCTATTGTGATCTAATCAAAGGATTCCCGAAACTCACTTCACATTGAAGTTATCGCTAAACGTATTGTACAGAAAGACAGACAATTGACACTTAGTAATTAAGCCATCCAGATCAGAGAAGATAACAACACCGAGAACTCTTTTCTCGCAAATATATATATTGATTTATTTATCAATCAAATCACAAACTTAGTACATTGTCGAGAACAAGATATTTGAGAGGGATAGGATATTACCTGAACTCCCAAACCAAAGCGAAAAGGGTTATCTTAAGGCGTCACCTCCACCCGAGTATTTGACTTGAAGTATGATCAACCAAGGTGTTGAACCAGCATCAGAAGTTATATTCTTATTGGTTTCCAATAACCCAAACAGGTCTGTCTGTCTGTCTGTTTTCGACATAGAACTTTGCACAAATGTGCGGAAGTTCAAGTCGCCACATTCCGTGTAGCACGCGAAGCAAGAGAAGAAAGTACAAGAAAAGCATAATAGAAACAGTGAGCAGAGGTGTGAGACAAAGGAGTAATAAAGAAATACAAAACAATTTCATTGAAGATCATAAGTCACAGGGAGTGGATGCATCTGCGCCACAGGTTCATAAACTCTTCAATCCTTTCGTATTTTGGAAATCGTGTACACCATAGGCGTTTAGAATCAAGATTTCCCAGATGTCTTAGATAGACTAACATATCCACTAATCCGGTTGTAAGCGCCAGACGTTCTTATTCGAGCTTTCATTTTTTTTGAGGAACGCCCCCGTCGTAGCGTGAATGGAAGTTAGCTGGCTGAGAGAGGCTGTCAGTGCGTGACCACGTCACATCACTTCGACAGGTAGATCGAACTCTAGCCACCCTCAGCCATACCCAGTTGTCTATGAGAATAAATACATGAGGTATATATTATTTCGGTAATAAGTAATCATTCACATGACAACAATTCATTAAAATCAGAACAATTACTACCTGTCGTTTGTTTTGCATTTTCTTTTTTTAATTTTAGAAAAGATGCCAATATACCAATTCCGCCAAAGAATATTACAGAAATGATAGAATTCCAGCGATTACAGTGTTATTATACACAAATTAATCTGAATGACAAGATAAAACACTTTCTTGACTTTTTGTTAACATGGACAACAACACCAAAAAGGGAATAATTACTTATTATCTCATGCATTCAGATGACTGTTTGTCATTCAATTGATTTAGTTCAATAGACATTTCATGAGTTGTTTTGTAAGCATTTGTTTGTATCAAGTTTAATCACGCGATTGATATCAGTGTTAGAGAACTATGGGATATCAGTAGAGAGTAATAGATAGTTAGCGGTTTCGTCCTGGTTTGGGACTCTTCAGTGCACCACACCCATAATCCAACCAAGGAGGGAGCTCAGGATCTTCGGGTTAAGAGGTCAAACTGGTTGATTATTCTGTCACTTGGGCTGGAATTCAATGACCTGTAGGCTTTAACACTTCCCGCTGCAATGCTTCAATTTCCTGCTCATATTCTTTTGGTTTTGGTTGCTCTATAGCGGCTACCGTTGTGCTCAGCAGCTGTCTGGTCACCTTCGCCAGCTCACTAATATCCATCGGCTGCGTTGCGTTAACCAGTTGTAATCGCTTAGAAATGTGGGGTCTGGGACACTCTCGATGAATTGGGAAGATAGTAACTGCTCTTCTGATTCTTCATCCAAAGTGGGAAGCGCACGTCGAAGTAGATTCGTTAATTTTACCGCCAACACTAGCGGGTCTCCATCGGGTCCCAGCTTCGTTGACCGGAACTGCTGGATTGCTAGCTGTCTGTCTGTTGCGCTGTCAAACTCCGACACTAATCGTTCAACAAAATTCTTCCAAGACGCCGTGCCATTTGACCTGTCTACGCTGTCATATGCCGCTTTCGCTCGGCCTCTCAACAGCGTCCCCAGGACAACTGCCTTCGCCGCCTGCTCCTTGACACCCACCAGCTCAGCGACGGCCTCGAAGTCACGTAAGCAGCTCCGTATGTCTCCTTCTTCAAACGCAGCTGGCCACGGGATCTTCATTTTTTGAAGGCAGCGACACCAAACGTAACAACAAAAGACAAGGGCTGGCAACAGATCATTTTATTACGGAAATCAACACGTATTTATATATATTTTATGTACATTATTAGAGCTTATTCAAGTAGACAAACGCAGTCTTCTGGTTGGTTGTTTCTCGGAAGTTAAGCAGACAAACGCAGTCTTCTGATTGGTTGTTTTCGAGTTTCTCGGAAAGTGGAGCCGTCTATCTGCGAATCATATTTGCCCACGTTTAAGTCTGCTGTGATTGGTTGTTGAATCAGCCTTGTTCATATTTTCTCACGGCCAATATTAGTGACCTAGACATTGACGTAGATTAATGTCGACCAATTGGCTAGCAGCCTGCTCTCACCACACTGTCAATTGGAGATTCTAGCGAGACGGCTACCCAATGTCATCGGAGATTAATTGTCCTCATACCTTACCTGATGAACAGTAGTGGTCATGACTTCACATTCAAACCCGGCCGACAAATGCTACTTTGTCATGGTGGTCCGGCTTGAATGCCGCAGTGACGTAACAAGCCAGCGAAACTGGCTGGGACTCATGTTCCTGCAGGTCAGGGAGGTTCTTTTGGATAGTAGTTAGATCAAAAGCAGTTTCATGAGGTAAGTAGGCCCCAGAATCCAAATGGATCAAACGGCGTATGAACCGGGATCGTAGTTCGGGATGCTAACTTGAGGATTAGACTCCAAGTCAAAAGCTCGAGGGACGGTCCCTTAAGACAACCACCTGCTCCTGTCTGGACGCCCGGGCAGTATCTCAGCCCTCACACAATTAATGAAATGTGTGTGGCACATCTTCTTGGTGACATATTGTACCTAGGTTTTGTGTTTGAATAATAATAATAATAATCAATCAAACTCCAGGTCAGTCATTAGAAAGCACCAGAAGGTCCTAGGATTGAAATTCCGTGGAGTTGTGGTTATGTACACTGCCAAACTAGGAAGAAACAGCTGGTTTCCAATAGTTCTCTAGCTAACATCAGTACACGATCAAAATTGAAATGAATCAATAAAATATATTCCCTCTTTTAACCTTACTTATTTAGTGGTTTTTAACAGTGGAATACGAGACACAAATTTCATTCCATTCGATACTCATCAAATTAATGTATAATGCATGCCCAGTGACTAGACTCCAGCACATCAAGTTGACGAGTCACGAAAGTAGGATGAAGTGCACCTTTTAGATGCCACTGCTAGCCACCAACAATCAAATCATAGCATGTTCATATCAACGTACAGTCCAAACATTTCTATTGGAAGAGATCAGTTATTTCTGTTCAATACAACCAGATAACAGGAATTTCAAAACAATTTTAACACATAACCCCTCTTCTGTTTCCGCATTTCAAAACTTTTATTTATTGAAACACAACCTCTGCACAATATAAACATTAACAGATGCAGAACAAAATCCTGTATTTTGTGCTGGAGGCAAAATACTACCCGAAAGCTCAGACTGAAGCTCAAGGGGCTGCTCAAGGGGCAACTTCCCTATCCCTTGAACTGAATTCGGATGCACAAGGCAATGGCGAACCATCAGTACCTACATTCCCATAATTTCCAGCGACCAAAACAGGTTCACAGGCTATTCGATCCTTTCAGATTCTGGAGCCCCTGTATACCAGAATAGGTTTGGAATCAGGGTTTTCAAACTTTGCCACGTTGAATTACATTTCTACCAGTTCGCCCGTAAGCACCAGATGCTCGCATTCGTCCTTTTACCATGGTGAGGAGCACTATAGCCGCTTGAAGGCAGTAGATAGGACTGTTTGTATTTTATAAATTGTATATGGGTTATAGTTTGCAGAATAAATTATTATTTTTTATACGAGTCTTTTGTATTCGTGATGAGATTATATCAGTAACCAATTTATCATCAGGGCTTACCAAGTAAGCGAACTGGACAACAGATGAGAACCAATTCTCTCCTTATTCACTTAAACTAAGAGTGAGTACAGATCATTCGTGTAACATGATCCTACACCTGACAGAAAGTAATTGAATACATGCTGTTAGGACAGCTGGATGAAGTTAGACATGAAGGATGATAAGAAAAGCTTTGTGTGCTTTTCAAAGTATGTAGGCGGTGATTATATCCCAGCTGTTGACATCGAATTTCCCCTGAGACTCCTGAAACAGAGACAACATTAGCATTGCATCATGTAAGGAGACAACTGCTTGAGGCCTGTCACACATGAGTTGTTTTAATTGGCATTTGAAGTCGCGTCTGTACTAAGATCTGATTGACGGCTACAGACCACAACAAAATGAGTCGAGATCTAGAATTTTCAGGGCCGGATTTTTCACCTGCACCCCCACTTTCCAGAACGAGGAGATAGCATACCTGGTACACGAGTCATTTGAGGGAGAACACCTTACTGCTGTTACATCCCTGTTCCCTAACAGTACAACTTTGCCCACAGACCCCAGCATAGTGTAAACGCCCTACACTACAGTGGTAATTGCCTTTAGTTCAATAAGCATCCAAATAACTTCCTAGAATGATAAGTCCTGGAGGAAAAATAGTTCCAGCCAGTGTAGCCCATTGGTATATGCAAGCCCAACTACCACGCCAAAGTAGTAGCTATCAGTTGGGGCAAAACAGCAGTACAATCTATATCTAATATCTGAAAATTTACACAAATCTAAATAGCTACGTTTTACATTCAATCGAATCGATACCGAATACGTGGGATCGAAATGAAATAACGCCTAGCCCGAATTTATCGGGAAATCTGAGTAGAAGGAAACATTAGGGAGTAGTAGCGTCATCAGCCAGTATTTGTCGTCCTCATACCTGACCTGATCAACCCCACTGGTTACGACTTTTCACTAGAACTCCAGTCAATCTAGCCCTGTAGCCGGTCACTAGCGAGCATCAGATCAATTTTCAAGAGGGATTTGATCTGTTCCAAGTTTCACCACGGATTGAGAGAACGACTGAAAACCACTTGTCACGTCACAGTTTAGGACTCTTCAACGGTAAAGTACCCACCGCAGGGGTTCGAACCCAGGACCCTCCAGTTACAAAGCAAGCTTGTAGACCATTTAGCCACTCGGACTCAACCCAATGACCAGTCCATGAATTCTGACTTCTACGAATTCGTAATTTTAGCGCTACCAACTGTAGTTTTAGTGAGAATTCGTGACCAGTGGTGTCCACCAGTTCGGATATATACAGCAAGTCAGAAATACGTTGATATCATCATGAGAAATAATTGTTCCTGGAACGTCATCCACAGAGTGTGTTAAATATCAAATAAAGTCATCTACTACAGTGTTCAAATTCTACACCAGCACTAAATAAACACAATCCTGCCAGTTTTGCTTTTACAACTGAACATTTTTCAAATCATTCTGTTCATCTGAAGTCACTCTCAGTTCACTAGGAAACCAAACTAGGAAACATTCACAATATAGGGGGTTCTAACCAGTTTATTTGGAGATCGTGGGAATAAAATTTTTATCTAGTCTTAGGTGAGACTTCTTCTCAGCAGATATTACAGATTCCAGATCTGAATAGACCTAGGTCCAATTTCTTTGACGTATGAATGTGAGACTTTATCCCACGTTAAACTTCTTACTAATTTTACTCGGTTGATAACAGCTAAAAGTAGTATCCAGCATGTCTGTCTGGATTCAACATAGAACTTGGCACCGAAGTGCAGCAGTTCGAGTTGCCACGTTCCAAATAGCACACAGAGGTAGACAAGAAGATGAGTGAAGAGAATTAATAGAGTTTGACAAATATAAGAGTGAAACAGAATGGGTAATGGTAGAAAGGAATATGAAAGATTACAGAGATTGAATACATCTGCGCCATTGACAACGATTTTGAGCCATGTCACCTATTGTCTCCAGCCATTGATTCCTAGAGTCCCGAGGGCCCCAACCCGGGAGTCTGCATCTCCCTACCTGACTCAGTTTAACTGTCAAGGATTTCATGGATTGATGCCATGTTTTTGTTTGGCCACCACTGGCTCTTTTCCAACCTGAACCTATATCAGCTAACAATGCCCGTCGGGGGAGGCGGTGGTTAGGCATGCGCACCACGTGACCTAGCCATCTTAGTCTATGTAACTTTATAACCTCGTCGATTGATTTTCCCTCTTTGCCCAACACTCTACGCCTAACGTCAACATTACTTACCTTGTTAAACCACCTAACG